ATTTATTTCATTCAATACATTATTTGGATGGAGTATTGAACAATAGTATAAATGTTAAATTACAAAAGAACCCTCAAAATAAAGAGTGATATTTATATCCTAAAAATTTTTTTAGGGTAAAAATATTTTTTTTCCAAATACATCACAATTAGATTATTTAAACCCATAAAAAAAGGTGAATTTATTTAATAGGCTATAAGTGGTATTAAATACATTATTCATATGGGCTGATATAATTTATAGGTGATAATATCGATCCCAAAATATATATTCAAACATGGGTATACGAGAGATAAGATGAACCCAACATTATTTTTTCCAATCTCTTCTTCATAATACCTAAAGGAAACACACTCAATATGAATTCAAAATAAAATAAAATGAATACGATACAACTCTAATCATATCCCTTAAAAAACCTTGGCTAATGCTTAAAAAGTTGACACCTACTTAAGTACCATACCTTCATTTTTTTTACCAATAAAAATGCACCACGTGTATAATTTTTTATTTTATGATTTTTTTTCAACCATATATTATAGATTGTCTAATTTAAAAAATCAGTGATAGAGGTTTTCGTACATAAGATACCAAAGCCGGTGCAGTAACTTTACCCACTACTTAAACATAGAAGTCTGCTTGAAAAAAAAAAAAAAAACAAAACATAGACTAGTACAATTCCCAGGAACTGCCCAAGCCTAGAACAGAATCCGAGGAAAAGGATAGGGCAGCAACCCAACCAAGAGAAGGATAACCAGACAACATCCCAACTAACAACTCTTTGATTTGGAATCACAATTTCACAGACCAATCCATACCATACCTTTGCTAAATAATAATGTAGGAACGTCCTGTCATTTTCACATTCAACAGTGAGTTGGTGACAGCCCTCACTCACTTAGGACACACACCTTAATTAAATTCCTTTAAAGTCTAACTGAATTATCAACTTGATTTGAAGTTGCATTTGCAATAAGATGTCATGTCTTTTTGTTGAGGGACACTCCCATATTGTTGTGTTCTTTTTCTAAAGGGGTTGGTTTGCTGTTTGCAAAGTTCAAATTCATTTCACTTTACACCCCAAAGAACTAAGGCATGTTCTTTGTAATTAGACGTGGCAACTTTTTAATATCGCACGTCCAACATTTATGAATACTGCATGAAATTTATGAGTTAAAATTAATTATTCCTCGACATAAACTTAAAAAGCTTTGGACTATTATGCCATAAATCATGCTTTAGTTACAATTAAAAGTAACAATCTTAATCCGTTATTCATTAATTTGTCCAATTCATTCATAAATTAATACAAGTTCTAAATGAGTTGAATAATAGCACTCATTTTAATTAAATGAGTTAAGATAGATTTTAAATTAGTACCCATTGAGTTGAGTATTTATCTTTCTATTAAATAACAAAAATAATAAAATCAAATACACACTCAAATAATAATAATACACCAAAACATACACACACACACCCCCTCTCAACCCCAGACTTGACTGTTTGTGTGTGTGTTTTCCCCCTCTTGACCCCAACCCTAGACCTAACCCCTAACCACGACCTCAACCCTAACCCGACCTCAAACTTGGACACTAGACTCGAACTCGGACCTGACCGTTTGTGTGTGTGTGTGTGTTTTTTTTGGTTTTAGTGTATATGTGTTTTGGTATATTAGTCTGTGTGTATTGTTTTGGTGTATTGGTGTGTTTGTGTTTTGATGTATTAATTTGTGTTTGTTTTTTGGTGTATTGGTGTATGTATGTTTTATTGTATTAGTGTGTGTGTGTGTGTGTGTTTTGGTGTATTAATCTGTGTATTTTATTTGATATATTAATATGTGTTTATATTAAGAATTTGAATTATTTTACGAATTATTGAGTTTAACATAACATGTAATAATCCAATTTATTATAACCGATTATTAAACGAGTTAAAAATAAATTGAATTTATTTTACACCCAACTCAATGTGAACGAAACCATTTGTCACTTCCTTTTAAAATCATTCAAAGCAAACACACCTGACCCAGTCCAAATTAAAGTAAGATGATCCCTATCTGCAGTCTAATTATAAACCCTTCAAAGTTTATAGTAATGATCCCAGATTGTGCTCATTTGAGTTAAAAATAAAAAATAAAAATCTCACTGTCGGAGTCTGAAGCAAACCACATTAGACTCACTTAACAGAAGTTGGGCGGGCAACTTGCATGATTCGGCCTATGTAAAATCCTCTGTATAAGAGCATTAACGGGTCGGGTAATCATGCTCAAACAAAGCCCATCCTTGAATCATCTTCTTTAAAATCTGATTCTTTAGTTAATTTTGGAGGGCTAGTGAGTCGGGGCCATCTTCAAACTGGCTAAACCTTGAAACAAGACAGGCTAAAACGTAGCCCACGATTTTATAAGTCAATCCAACAGGCCATCCATGTGGTGAACCACACTGGCCCATGTTTTGATGGGCCTATTGTCTTGAAACCAATCAGTGGGCTAGATCTTTTCCCCCTAGTATTACGTTTGGATCGGGTCTGTACAAGTAGTTGTAGCGTAGCAATAACATGAACCAGCAAAAAAACAAAAAAACAAAAAACAGCGATGCGAGTGATGGGTTAAAATTCTCTTCTTTTTGACAGATCATTCACTATTTATGAATGAAAAATTTATTTATATATATATATATAATAAATCTTACTTGAATATATATATGAAAAAAATTTTAAAACAAAAGTATATGGAAAAAAATCTGAGTCCAAAAGAGATTTTTTTATCTGCTTAAGATGGGATCTTTTGCCCATGAATCATAAAATTGGTAATAAATTGGGGCCATGTGGATGTGGAAGGTTGGAACTTGGCCACATGCAAGAACATCAAATCACATCTGCTTCCCTGCAAAAGATTTGAAACTCTACACGGTGCCCAAAAAAAAGTGTAATATCATTACCGTTATTTATTATTTTGTACGATAAAAATAATAATTTTTAAATAAAAAGTTACGATAACTATTATTTAAGGGTGATAATGATCGACCACAGACATCTATGATTGACATCTATGATTAATAATAAAAAATACAGTATTTATCTCAACATTCCATGATAAATCATAGTCTTTATTTAAGCAGTTGTAATCGATCATGGGTGTCCATAATCGATCATAGTCTTTATTTGAACAATTATAATTTTATTATAAAAAATAATAATTGACAATACGGTATCAAAATTCTTTTTTAGTACCGTAGGCTTTGTCCAATTTTTTTTATCAAATTGGTATATCCATAGTCGTTGAATAGTTATTAAAAATTTGTGAGACCCATTAATTATATGATTGACATTGATTTAAGATCCAAAATTTGATAAACATTTCCACTACTTTTCCGTGATATACCGTGCAATGCACTACGCCTTTATCCTTTTGTGTCTTGTTGGAACATTCATCAACTTTTTTTTTTTTTTTTAATTTAGTCCCAACTACCCAAGCACATAGTATTGTTACTTGAAACATTAATGAGAAGTTACGACTTGCCATATAATATTATGTATATATTCTCATAATTGAAGGTTGCATGTGATGTGTTTAATAACCTTCACATGTCCTTTCTGCAATTCTCTCTTTTATTATGCCCTTTCCTATTTTATTTTCTATGGACATCTATTTTTGCAATGCTCTATAGAGTTAAATAATTTTTTGTGTTTTTATGTAACACGGGAAGGTATTAAATTACAATATTCAACCTTGTAAGAATTGTACACGTATTACAGATCATTGATAATTTTTGATTTTCGCTAAAACAAACGTATGATCACATCATGAGATACAGAGGTCTTATTCATTAGAATGATCTTGTGATGATTTTGATTAGGAATTCAACTAACACGAATAAGATGATTATGTACTTGTAATCACTTCATGAACTTCTTGAGAAATGTCGTTGAATATACAACTTAAATATGAGAGAGAGAGAGAGAGAGAGAGAGAGAGAGAGAGAGAGATGGGTAACAGCAGCAGAAGGTGGGCACTTTTGTCAAAGGGTTCGCAGCTTTGGTACATGTGCTTGGCAAAGGGAAGCACATGCATTGGGCTCCCCTTTCAACCTTTTTCTCTGATTGGAACTGCCTTTTTTATTTATTTTTTCCCAATAAACAAATCCAGCACCTTTTCTGCTTTAGAATAAAATTTCAACCTTCTTCATGTGTAATTGGGCCCGCTTTCACAACCTCCCTAACTAACCTTTCACCCCTCTTCAATGTGGAATATTTTATCTATTCATTTAATTTATTATAATTTAATTAATAATACTTTTTAGTCATTATTGAGAGTCATTATTAATTTAATAGTAATTATTATTTAGACTTTTGGTGGTCTTATTAACACATCACAATGGAATCTTTGGCTTGGATGAAGTCGTAATAAGATACTCGTAAGAGAACTTGTAATTGGATCGAATCATTTGTGATGAAAATGTCCTCTTCTCCCAACCAACAAGGGGGGTAACTTGTTTCCACTGGTGGTGGACAGGCAAAGGGTCCAAACGACACGTAGACCTCAATAAATAAAATTTAAATAATATTAAATAAATTCAAAATCTTACCTTATATAGAGTTAGACTCAACCCATTTTTATCTAGTACCAAATCAACCGACCCAAGTTTCTATTAAGGTGATTCACTTGGGAACTTATTGGGGATCAATTAAATCATAAATTTTTGACTAATATTAGACTTTATTTAATATTAAAACTCTTTATACAATCAATAACTATAATAAATTAAAATTTTTAAATTACATTAGCAAATTAAATCCTACAATTCACTTGTCCAATGTACAACCACCAGTTTTCACACCATGTTTATTCCTAGACAGTTGTTAATTTAATGCTAGTGGGCCCCTCATTATAACTCTAGATGGGTAAAGTCGATTAAAAACATTGATAAAGACCCTATCACACCTAGGCATCTCTATTCCTGTTTGTATATATAGCCAACACTCCCAAACAATACTTGTGCCAAACCAACCCTTATCTTGCAATCCCCTACCCCCCGCCCCCCTCTCTCTCATCTGGTTCGATCTGTCATCACATACAGAGAGGGGTTTGCTCACAGCCAATGGCCATGTCTAAGTCCCTTGCCTTCCTGGTCTTGGCACTCCTTGTCATCTCTATGATTCAAACCACTGTGAGTTCTCTCTCTCTCTCTCTCTCTCTCTCTCTCATACACACACAAACATAGAGGTGTGGGGGTTGACACTTGAAACTCTCTTTTGTGATAGGTTTTTGCTTCACAAGGGGGTGGTCATCATCTCAACAGAGTAAGTTTTTCTACCCATGTTTATCTTGTTAGCAAAATGCTTAGATCTCCCCCTTGAAGAGTAACACTTACATTTTTTGTGTTTTACCTATGGTGTTCAGAATCCATATGGCCCGGGGAGTGTGAAGAGTTCCCGTAAGTATCATAATGTGCTTTCATTTCTTTGTGTTTTATTTCCATAGCACTATCAAAATGTAGGGCCTTTTTATGGGAAAAATGATCTTATTTCCCTCCATTTGAGGGTGAAAAATCACACAGAAACACTGCTTTGCCTTCTTGTGCTTGTACATTGTGGCATTTTATTCTGATCTTCAACCTTCGAACCCATGTACTTACAATGATAAGGAAAAAATCACCCAATGGTCAAAAGGTGAACTTTTTTACAGAAAAAAGAGCCACTCTTTTTCTTTGTGAGTCAGACTAGTTTGACCATGGGTGGAAATTTATTGATGTTGCATCCTTGACCAATGGTTAAAAAGGCAAATCTCATTTTGTTTTGCCCTGAATGAAATGACCAGAATGCCCATCACGATGCTCGCAGAGGTGCGGCAGGACCCAGTACCACAAGCCATGCATGTTCTTCTGCCAGAAATGCTGCAAGACGTGCCTGTGTGTCCCACCAGGCTATTATGGGAATAAAGAAGTGTGCCCTTGCTACAACAACTGGAAAACCAAGCAAGGTGGACCCAAATGCCCCTGAGAGTTTCAGTTTATGACCTGCCTGCCCATTTACCAATCCTCTTAACTTGGCCTGGTCTTTTGTCTTACCATTATTATTGAATATTGATTACTAGCAGAGCAATGTTTATGCTCTATTAATGACTATCATATACTAATGTGTTTGTTTTATTGTTAAGTGTCTCTTTATATGAATTACTATCATCAATGTAACATGTCTCGGTCACTCCATCTCGATCTTTTGGATGATCTTTTATATGAATCGATCTGGTGTTTTAAGTTTCAGATTTTACTCTGGCATATCTTGAAATGTAATTGGTGTTTGTTTAATTCATTTCACTTTAGCCCAAAGTCAACCTAAACTTCGACAAATTGAAGGTGTTCACAATCTTTTTTACCTGTTTGGATTAATTACTGGCAAATGTATTGTGAACCACAACAATTTTGAATTGTTCTCATGGTACTCAAAATGGATTTGGATATCTCTAAATACGTACATGAATTCAAGTAAAATTTAGTATATATAATCGCGCCTCTTATCAAGATATCTGAGTAATCCGACATTTAGGAAAATGGAAGGAAATGTATTGAATTGATACTTACTAGTTTTTACCTACCCCATAAGGCCCGAGTATATATCGAAGTTGGTAAGACTCCAAAAAATTTCACTTCTAGCTAATGTAGCCGAATGAGAAGGCCTCACGGCCCGCCTAGTATCTCTAAGCGGATTGAAGTTAAAAATCTGACTCTTTGCACGCCAACAATAGTTGCCGTTTGTGGACCTTGTCTTATCCCTCCGAAAATGAAAAAAGAAAAGAATCAAAGTGGGGCATGGCTCTGGGCGTTCGGCCCTCAGTTGGGTCACTTTTGCCTCATACAGGAACATTTCTTCCATGGAATATTTGATGGCACAAGTGGCCCTCCTTCGGGCATTCAGTTCCCTCACTCAAGGCTACGTTATCTCCATATGAATGGTTCAAGTCCCTCTTCCTTTTTTTATTCCCCTTTCTCTTCCCAAAAAAAAAATATCCCATGATCTGATAAATGAGTTCGTTGAATAACATCTAAAACATATTTGCAGTGAGAGAGAAGATAACTTTTACAAAAGGAAACAATCTCAATACCATCTTTCATCTTAAAATGGTGCTACAACTGAGTTTTCAATAAGCATATGCTAGCAGTGTCATCACCTGTAATAATCATATCATCAACATATAGTAAGAGAATAATAGAACCTAAGGAAAGAAGACCGTAAAAAGATAGCAGAATCATGGTCACTGGCAAGACAAACCAAATTCACAAATAATCGAAGAAAATTTGACAAATCATGTCCTGAAAGCCTATTTAAGGCCATATAAAGTTCGGTGAAGTCGACGTACTTGACCAGGACTATGAGACAATCCAGGAGAAAGAGTCATAAAAACCTATTCACTTAAATCTCCATGAAGAAATGTCTTTTCCACACACCATTTGAGATAAATTCCATTGGCGAATGGCAGCAATTGCAATCACTGTGCGAACGGTGGTCATCTTTGTAATAGGGGCAAAAGTTTCATCATAGTCTATACAATACTCTTGAGCAAAACCTTTAGCTACTAATCGAGCTTTATACCGTTCCACAGAATCATCAGATTTGATTTTTATCTTATAAACTCACTTACAACCAATTGTGCGTTTACTAAGTGGTAAATACACTAGCTTTCAAGCTCTGATCTTATGTAGGACAGACAACTCCTCATTCATAGCCTGTTTTCAAAGTGGATCAGGTAAAGCCTCCTTGTAGGAGGTGGGTTCATATAGGGAATGAATAGAAGTAAAGAAAAAACAAAAGTCAAGAGAATAACAAGTATTACTCCAACCAAACCTGTCTGTACATTTGTGTGAACGTTGAGGATAGCGTGTAGTATGATCCACAATGTTTGAACATGATTGGGTTGCAGGAGAAGAATGAGAAGGCATTGTATCTGTAGAGGAGATAGCTGGAGTGCTGTGAACGAACATATGTATGCACAATAGGGGGACGACTGATGGGTAACTCAGAAGAGGAAGGTATATCAAAAACAATCATATCACCAACATAAGTGTTAAAGGGAACATCAGTCGGAAATGGGTCAATGTAAATGAGATCAGATTTATGCAAATATGCAGAATTAGATGAAATAGAAAAGAATGGAATATGCTCCATGAAAACAACATGACGAGAGACATAAGGTTTGTGTGAAACAAGATCATAGCAATGATACCCCTTTTAACCCTCACCATAACCTAGAAAAACACATAAAACTGAACGAGCAGAGAGGTTAGTATGAAGAGCATTAGGAAACAACACAAAACTTGTGCATCCAAATACACGCAAAGAGAAATAATCAGGTGGCTTACCACATAGTTTTTCAAATAAAAAAATTTCAAAGGTGATGACAATAGGAATGAAATTAATCAGATAAACCGCGGTAAAAACTGCTTCCCCCCAAAAAGAACTTGGGACATGTGCCGACAGCAAGAGATAACGTGTTGTCTCCATAATATGTCGGTGTTTGTACTCTGCTACATCATTCTGTCCAGGTGTGTCAGTACAGGAAGATTGACAAACAGTGTCATCAGATTTTAATAGATCACAAAAAAAATTGAAAGAATATTCTTCTCCTTGGTCACTTCGAAAATATTTAATAATAGATAAATATTGAGTACATATCATAACACGAAAAGTAGTGAATACAGAAAAGAATTCAAAACGGTGCTTTATAAGATATACCCAACAATATCTGATATAATCTTCAATAAATGATACAAAAATATCTGGATCCTCCTTTTGTGAAAATAGGAGCAGGGTCCCAGACATCAAAATATAAAGGCCAAATGGTGCAAGAGAGATAGTTAGACTTTTAGTAAGAGGTAATGAAGTAAACTTAGCTAACTTGCATCTACTATAACTAGAAATTTCATGACACTCTAAATTATCTAAACTACCAGTGTAGACTAAATATTTCAAACCAGAATAAGAAACATGACCTAGATAAGAATGTCACAAGTAAAAACTAGAAGACTGTGGACTCAAATGAAAAGATGACAAATCAACGGTAGAAGCTACAATATTTTAAACATATAACTCATCCAATACAAACAGTCCTCTCTTTCTACTACCTGTCCTAATCAGTTTCTTAGAATATGGATCCTACACAACACAACCAGAAGAAGAAAATTGAATTGAAAATTCAAAAACAAATAACTGATTGACTGAAATCAAATTCAAAATAAGCTGAGGGATATAATAGACGTCTGAAAGTGTAAGGTAAGGAGAAATAAAGTGTAAGATAAGGAGAAATAATTGCCCCGACACCAGCCAAAGACATTTGGCAGTCATTTGCTACAAGTACAAATACAGATAGAGGAGAAAAAGTTGGTGCAAACAAGGAAGAGTCACTAATCATATGATGTGTAGCACTTGAGTCAAAAGCCAAACAGTTTGAGGTATACCTGATGGGGCCCATTTGAATGAACTTATTGAAGAGGAGACTGTGAGATCATTAGGTTGCCAGAGTGAGAGGAGTCTTTGCAACTAATTAACAATTGTAATCATATTGGGAGTTGATGTCTCAAAAGTGGCCTGAAGAGAACCAAAAGCATTGTTTTCCATATTCTAAATGAAAAGTGTCCAAATCTAGCACAAAACAACAAGCCCAACATAAATGTATCAAAAATACTTGTTTGCATCCCAAATTCAATACAAAATCAGCAAGCCCAAACCAAATCCAGCACAAATCAACAAGCCCAGCCAATCAACAACCAAATAGCAAATAATGACCCAAAAGAGCCTAGAATGCCATTGGGAAGAAGGCAATCAAAGGGGTAGCAAAGAAGTAAAATAGTAAGAACAACCGAATAACAAGAGCTGCAGGACCAATTAATCAAATTGTAAACTAAAGATTTCGACACCAAACCAGGAGCAGCAAACCAAACGAAGAAGAAGCAACCAAACCCAACAATGTGAAGAAGCAATCAGAACCAACAACCAGAAGAAGTAGCCATAGCCAATAACGAGAAGCGCTAGCAAAAGAGAAGAAGTAGCAAACCCAACAACCTAGCAACATGAAGAAGCAACCCGACCCAACAACCCAAAGAAGCAGCCAGACCTAGCAATGAGAAGCGCCAGTAGTATGTGCAGCGACTGGTTCAACGAGAAAGACCCAACAACGAGAAGAACCAGCAGAAGAGAAGCAGCAACAAACTCAGCGACCAGAACCAATAGTCTGTGCAACTACTGGTTCAGTGAGGAAGACCCAACAATGAGAAGACTCAAAGAAATCTACACGTGATTTCGAACAGACCCAACGTGATTCTGGACAAACTTAGCGACTGGTTCAGTGTAATTCGAGACATGACTGGTCTGATTTTGTGTTTAGGATCTTAATTTCTCTGATACTATGATAACTTTGATCAATCATAAAGAAGATAAAAGAAAGAAGAAAAGAATATTATTGAGGCAAAATTAGCCAAAACAACATGATGGAAAAATACATACAAAAAATCTTTATGCAGTAGGATAACATAAAATAAAACAAATAATTAAGTTACCCCTAAATCTAAGTATGTTATCTACTTTAACACTAACCATTCCAGCTTTTCCAAAACTTGGTTTCTCTAAATTCACCCTAGAAAAGGTTGAACCATTATAATATAAGAAATACGTGTTGAATTCTTGTAAGCTAAAGAGTCACCACCTAGAGTTAGTCAACCTGAATCCTCAGCTTTTGTTGAAGGCAAACAGTAGGAGAACATGCCACCGAAAATTTCAAATTTTAGATTTTTACACTGGGTGGGGTCGGATTAGGATTTACCCAGTGGACGGGATGGGGATTAAAATTAGCCCCGTTAACGGGATGGATTGGGTATAAATAAATTTTTTTTAAGTAGATTCGTGTTCTGATCTATTGTCATCCCAAAATATTATGTATATCTAACCATTCTCAAATCATACAATGAAATTAAGTGTGAATCATTGAACCTTTGTATTAAATGTCCGAGTCCAAGATGAGAATAAAAGCTAGCTTCGTCTATTCGAAAAAAAATCCAACCAAAATTGTCCACAATCTACCACAGAAAAAAAGCTACAATACATTGACATTAATTCAAACCGAAAAGAGAAAACACTTGTAACTCAAAGGACATTCTTCAGATTTCCAAGGGAACTTGCTTGTGCTGCTTCTAGTCTCTGCCTACTTCCTGATCCAACTATATATACCGTACAAGAACATATATAGATGTAGGGAACTATATTTTATTAGCAGTCCTTACTTTGTTTCAAGAGAGAAGGTGAATTGCCTGGGGTAAGATATGGAAAGTGAATAGGGTTACCCAATACATATGCACCAAACACAAGTAGATTATGAAGTCTGCACTAACATTTCTCTCTCCCCTCCGGATTAACACAGTGATAAACCATGACAGAATGTACATTGGCATCAGGACTGCCAGAAGACGAGACATGTAGATCTGTTGGGCCATTCAATATTATGGTCAGCCATTGCAACCAAATCCAAAGTTAGAATATAAAGTATGAAAATAAAGTCCGTTATATATCCAAATCATAATTTCTTAATCAAATTCGGATTGAACTCTATCAAAATTTGATCCATTGATATACTACAAGGGTCTCTTGGAAAAAAAGATGTCCCACTTACAGAAAAAATATTGCCAATGCTACGGTCCTCCTCATCCACGAAGGAAAATGCTAGTTTCATCATCAAGATAGCTGTAAACTGCAAGAGAATATAAAATAAAAATACTTCATTTGGTGAATCCTTCGAGTTGTTCTCTTTTTATTTATGAGAAAATAGTCAATACAATGGTGAATCGGTGATAAACATTATTACTAACAGAAATTCTTTCTTGTCTAGTGGTGGATGAATCTTGAATCATGAAAATAAGGCCATACCACAAGGACTGTTGAGGCGATAACTGCATTTCTGGTTCCACTTGGAGTAGCAAACTCATCATACTCCCCATCAACCAAGTATTCTGCTGCCCTAGCAGTAGCAGGTGCTGGGAAGGTCGACGGACGCCTGTCGTTCCTATCTTCACTGTAACACAACTTAATACGTGCGCGTAACAATAACCACAGTAAAGATTTGCGAAATCTTTACATACCCCAATTATATCTTGGTGCCTTAGTGTGATGTACCTTTTTTAAAACATTCTTTTTGTTTTGAACGGGTAGTTAGCGTTTTTTGAAACTACTTTCTTAGCACTTTTTCCTTATTCCTAGTACCAAATAAGTATAAAATTTTTCGAGGTGTTTAAGGTATACATTATTTGTAATATCAATGAAAAAAGAAACGGTCAAAAAGATTGACTTGCCTGATGGTGATAATTGTATCTGAAGGTGGTGGTGGCGGTGGTGGTGATGGGGTGGTATAGCCAGCTTGGTATGGCTGTTACATTAAAAACATGTGGAGAACAACAATTGAAAGAAAATTACAAGATATCTGTAGTGAATAAATAAAAACATTTACAGAAACTTCAGTGATTTTCGTAGAAAGTTGGTTTAATATATGTCTACCTGGTTGCAAATTTCGCAGGTAGTGTTCTTTTTCTCGTTGCACCATTGCTGAATGCACTCCCTGTGGGCTAACTGCATAAAAATATGGCTTCTCATTCACTCAAATAATTGTTGTTTGAATTAGAAACAATCCAACTTCGAATATTCGAGGAGACAAATTAGTGTTTATTTATATATAAAATTAGAACAAATCGTTCTAAACATAAGTTTTTAGTCAGGCTGGAGTCTAATGATACTATATATTTTTGTGGCGTTTGTGATTTTCAGCTTAAACTTCGGAAAAAACCACACCCCAAAGCAGTCAATTTGAAGGTGATAGATTGCAAAAGAAGATTCGAATCAGCTTAAGTATAATTTTAATTTACGAGTAACCCTCTCAAATCTCACCAAATAGATAGTGAAAAAGAGGTTTATAATTAAAATTTAAAATCCCAAAAAAAAAAATTGTACCTTTAAGCTACCAATACAGCCACATGGTGCCTCCATTTTGTTGACAAAGTCTTCCTCCTGGCAAATGCGACATTCCATCTTTTCCTCTTCTTCGTCATTAGAAAACATAAACTCGTTCAAGTTCCAGTCATCGATTTCAGTGTTGGAACTGTACTGTACCCTTTGCATGGAAGTGCCTTTGTCGCTAAAAGCCTCTCGTTGCATTTGTTCCATGGTCGCGGCCTTGATGAGACGATCAGCAGACAGTAATATGTGATCACTCATAGTTTTCCCCCACAGATTCTCCTGCTCAAAAAATAAAAACAAATGCAACGATAGCAACATTGAATGATGTGTGTTCTATATAAGAATCATCATTACTATTCTGTAAGAACTTATTTTAATTTCTTCTCGATAATATTGAATTAAGAAACACTGACGTGCAACATAATTAAACTTAAACTTTCTAACGTAATTAGATAGAATATGCAAGGAAAACGGATAAAAGATTTATATATATAAAGATAAGAACAAATAATTCCTTTGGCTGAGAATTTGTTCGAGAACACAAAGGAAAGGCAACTTGTTTTGAAGACAAAAGTACAACTTATTGGTTAGTAAACAATGCAGTGCAATGCACGAGTTTTCTATCACTGTCGAGTTTAAAAAAAATCAGATGAATTCAACCAAAATAAAAGAAAATTACTAAAACAAATATGTTAGTAAATATGAAAAAAAAAGAACAAATATTGATGGACTGAGAGTACTTGGAAGTGGGAACTGATCTCTCTCTCTCTGTAGCTTGGAGTGAGCTTTGAAGGATGGAAAAAAGCTTGGGAAATGGAGGAGCTGAGTAGGTGTATTTAAAGACCTAGGTGTGGGGCCTCTCCGGCATTGATCACTGACGTCCGGCGAGTGTTGAAGGCCACAGTTGTCTGCTGTCATGCGGAGAAAAAATTAAAAAAGGGTGTTAATGGAAATTGGACGCGTAATTAAGAGATTCTTCCTACTTTAACAACTGAATTGGCAGTACACACTTTTCTAATCTTTGTGGTTATCTCATTTTTGGTTCTTTTGCATGTGACCGTTAAAGCAAGCTTGTTTCAAACTTACTACTATACCCTTTTCTCTAATTTTATGACCGTTATATCCTGTACATATTTTGGTGGGAATTTGGTTAGATTGACAAGTAAATTAAAATGGAAAAAATAAACAATTATTCAAAAGACAATGGCATATAAATATGATAAAATAGAGAGAAAGGCTACGGTACCACTGGCGATTTCTTATCAAAAATTATAATTTTTTAAAATTAAGTTATAACTTTTTTGAGGTGTAAATTATAATTTTAAAGAGTATGATCGATCATTGAAGGTTGAGATTGATACCAATATTTTCATCACTGATCATAGGTGTCTGTGATCAATCATAGTTTTTCCTTGAACAATTAAAACTTCTTATTTCAAAGATATAATTTTACCCGTAGAAAGTGGTAATCAATGATATGGTACAATTTTTTTTTCCGGTATCGTAAAATTTCCCTAAAATAGAACGAGTTATTTAAAGGAGTCATTCCCTTGGCAACTTTTTAGAGTTAAACCATAAGAGATTTATCTCTCATGCATACCCTAGTTCCGGCGTGGATGATCTGCTTTCGATCGGATTGAAAAGAGGATTAATCGAGGTGCGTATAAGCTGACTCAAATATTCCTTACCGTTCAACCAAAAAAAAAAAAAGAAAGAAATGAGCCATTCACATCCTAATAATACTACGATAATTTTTTTGTTACGACCAACTGCAGTATAAAAAAATTTGTTATAAAGAACAATAAGAAATAGCAGTGTTTTTTTTTTTTTTTTAAGAAAGAAGACCTCCGCTTGAAAATATTTCTCCCCGTATCACATTTAAAATGCAAATCCAAAATATGTATAGTGGACTCCAATGGAGGCTATTTGTTGAACAATGTTAATTCCTAAAACCCATGGCTTATCAATTACAAGATAAAGGTGAGATTTCTATATTCACAATGAACAAATCCACCTCTATTAAAACTTTAATTTCCAAAAGAAGAAGAAAAAATCATTGTTCCATTACAAATGCTCTTTTCTTAATTGGATGATACATTATAATTAATGACATTTAATGTGTACCAAAGTATATCTTTAATTACTTGAGGAAATGCACAAATAGGCATGTGATATTAAAGAACTGTTTTTCCCAAAAGAAAGTTATGATTTAAAGAGAATCGGGGAATAAAAATAAAAGTTGTACCCCTGAGAACTATTTCAACAAATAAATTTGTCGTTTTTTCAAGTATACAATGACATTATCGTTTAATACAGACAAATTTGTTCTTTTCTTGAGAAAGAACAAAATTTTCTTTCGACAATAATAGAATTTTAAATCTAGGTGGAAGTTGTCGTTTTTGATGCAGACATAATTATTCCTTTGAAAGAAAATTCCATTGATAAACTCCAAGGGAAGGAAACCCTAAATACGACAATTTGTTTGAAACGATTTATTATAATCGATGATTCTAACACCAAATAACGAACTAGATATAATATTTGTAACTACGTGATTATAAATATTATGTCTGACACGTGATGTGAAAAAGGTAATCAAATGAATTGAAAAGGAATACACCAATCAAATATTTACCTAAACATTTGCCATAAAAGTCAAAAGAAAATCATCTAATGCATCTAACCTATTTTGATTATTCCATGTCTAAATCCAATTCTTTTATTAGCCTAGAAATTCCTCATCACCTTTATCTTCCTAAGAAAAAGTAAAAAATGAGTCACCTTTGCAAAAACTACAGTCAACTTTAACTTTAGTTTCCAACTGGGGAGATAAAAGAGTCAAATGTACAAATTCAAGTTCAAGTCTAACGAGTTTATTTTTTAAAATGAGTCCAAAAAAGTATTCAATCTTAATGCGTTCCTAAACGAACAAGTTCAAATCGAACTCAAAATCAACAGAACTTGAGTAACTAGACTCTTTTATATAAAAATGAGTCAAACGTTACAAGCTCAAGTCTAGAACAAATCAAGCTTATAGAACTCTTTTTCTAAATGAGTCTACAATTATTCGAATTCGGCTCGTTTTCTAAACGAAGGAGCTCAAAACGAGTTGAATTCAAGCTGAGTTTGAGTAGCTTGGATCGTTTATTACCCTATAATCGCAACCATAAGCCCAAAACAAATCATTCCTTCCACCAAAAAAATAAAATAATAAAAAATAAAAAACATGGAAATGACCATCTTGAAAAAGTCGGGGTTGGTATTAGAGGGCCTTATGAATGAGTTGTGACAACTTTCAGCCCATATGCTTTGTTCCTGAATCAGTAGAGAGGCCCAAGCCCGTTTTAAAAATCTGTGACATTTTGCTTTCCCGCCCAAATTTCTCGCCTCTTTTGAATTTATGTATTTTACCGTTTTCTTGTAATGGCGGTGTGAAGTGATCGGAGGGGAGTGAAGTGATTCAGAGAAACCAATCACTATATTGTTCGATCCTTGCTCCTCAAACCTATTGAATCTACTCTCTATACCATATACAAACCAGTTTAGAAGAATTCATCGTTTAAGAGCGAGTTCGGAGTCGAACCAGAGATGGGGATTGAGATGGAATCGGCGCCGATGACGACCGACGAGTTTATGGACGCCGGCGCCGAGTCAACTCTTGACAGATCTAGAGCTCCGAGGCTATTCATTAAAGAGATGGTTATGAGGAACTTCAAATCATACGCGGGCGAACAACGCGTTGGCCCCTTTCACAAGGTTAGGGTTTCTGTCTTTCTTCTCTGTCAAATATCCAAGCCCAAAATTTAGGGTTATTTTCTTGTAGGTGCACGTGTATAGGTATATGTGTTTTGGTATATAGAAATTCACTGATTTGCATGTTTTGTCTTGATTACTGCGGAAAATATTTTGTGAGCAGAGTTTTTCAGCAGTGGTTGGTCCTAATGGTAGTGGGAAGAGCAATGTGATTGATGCTATGCTATTCGTGTTTGGAAAAAGAGCCAAACAGGTGAAACTAGTTCCATTTTTCTCTTACTTCATCTTGATTACAATATAGGCTCGGTTTGGTTCCTGAGAAAACTTGGGAAAGGACAGGAACGAAAATTCAGAATTATATCCTTTTTTCTTTTTATATTGGATTAATTTAATATTGGAAATGAAAATCAAAAGAAGGAAAGAACGAAATAGACTGCAACTCACTGATTTTATGCACTCACGAAAAAGTAATGGGGGAAAAAGAATGCTTCAGTTCATGCAAGTACACCGTATGACTGAGTGGGGTGTTAGAACTACTTCGATGCATAATAGCTGATAACAGACAGTCCACATATTAAATTACACTATTTACTTTTCCATGCGTTTTCCAAGACGCCAAAGCGAGAGCTAGTGGAAAAAATCAGATCAGATGTGACCAGTTAGTACATTATCCAAATAATTTTTCAAATTATATGCTGAAATATTTTCTGTAATTGGCAGATGCGTCTCAACAAGGTGTCAGAGCTAATTCACAATTCCACTAATCACCAGAATTTAGACAGTGCTGGTGTGTCTGTTCACTTTCAGGAGATCATTGATTTGGTAAAGAGGTTTTTGCTTTTAGACTTATTTTCATAGATTGTACTTGAGCAATTTTTCATTTTTCTTGACGACACACTTCTGTTGATATAGGATGATGGGACATATGAAGCTGTTCCGGGAAGTGATTTTGTAATAACCCGTGTTGCATTTCGAGATAATTCCTCCAAGTACTTTATTAATGACCGCACGAGTAATTTTACTGACGTTACAACAAAATTGAAAGGAAAAGGAGTGGACTTGGACAATAACCGTTTTTTGATTCTTCAGGTTCTGAAGTCATTACAAACTGATTGTAGTTCGAGTAACTGCTGATGGCTTTCAAATGGTTTAAAAATGGTGGTTGGCTTTTATCAGGGTGAGGTGGAGCAGATTTCACTGATGAAGCCAAAGGCTCAAGGTCCCCATGATGAAGGTTTTCTTGAATATCTCGAGGATATAATTGGAACTAACAAATATGTGGAGAAGATTGACGAATCATATAAGCAGTGAGTTTTTCTCATTGCGTAAAATAAGTTGTTCTTGCTTTTTATACATTTAATGACTTGTGCGACTGCATAGGAAATTCTTGCTATTTAGCTAAAACTAATCATATTTTCAAAGAACAATTTTTATAAATATTATTGGATATGATTGATTTCCTACTTTGATAAAATCTTTGGTGAATGATCTCTCGCATTGAAAAATTGAAGTAGCCAAATTTAGAATCTGCTATATTCTTCATTAAGATGCATATCAGATCCTGCCAATGATTTATTTGTATTCTAACATGAACAACTTTTTCTACACAATACTTAGTTATGAGATTGTCTATGCTGATCTCACTGACATTGATGGGTATTACTAAGAGTTTTTGTGCTGATTGCATCTTATTCTGCTCACTCTCATCTGCTAATTCTTGCTGTTTTCACAGGCTAGAAGCCCTTAATGAGAGAAGGTCTGGGGTAGTGCAGATGGTTAAGTTGGCAGAAAAAGAAAGAGAGAGCTTGGAGGTATATTTATAGCAATGCAGGGTTTACAGTTTCCTTAAATAGAATTTATGGAATTAGTAATACTTTTCTTTGTCTCAGGATGTGAAAAATGAAGCTGAAGCCTACATGCTTAAGGAGTTGTCACTGTTGAAATGGCAAGAGAAAGCCACAAAATTGGCTTCTGAAGACAACTCCGCTAAAATGGTGGAATTGCAAGCTAATGTGTCCAGCCTAGAAGAAAATCTGAAAAATGAAAGGTAGTTTTGGTCGGAACAAGGGTTGTATTAGTATATGTTTTTGTAATGTGAAAATTATATAAAAAGGAAGTTATGGCATCATTTTTCAGGGAGAAGATTCGAGATAATAAAGAAACATTGAAGGAGCTTGAGAGTTTGCACATGAAGTATATGAAGAAACAAGAGGTCTGTATTGCAGAGATCTAATGATTTATGTGCAGTTGCTCCTAGGAAAATTTTTACGCATTTGTCCTGCAGGGTTATTCTGTTGTAAGAGTAAATTTTTGGTTTTAAGATATGCATGCCTTGTCTTAGAAACCTTTTTGTACATGCTAATGCTAGTTGGCTCAAGATCAAACTCAATAGTGAAACATATTTCTTTACTTTTGTTTTTAAATCTAGGAACTTGATAGCGGACTTAGGTGTTGCAAGGATGAATTCAAGGAGTTTGAAAGACAGGATGTTAAATACCGTGAAGATTTAAAGCACATGAAGCAAAAAATCAAGAAACTCGATGAGAAAGTTGACAAGGTATGGGAGCAGTTGGTCTCCACTTGTATTGAAACTAATGCATGTATCTTACTTTGGGTTTCACTGTAGGATTCAACAAAAATTACTGACATAACAAAGGAGTGCGAGGAGTCAACAAATCTCATACCCCAACTGGAGGAAGACATTCCCAAATTGCAAAAACTCTTTCTTGAGGAAGAGAAAGTCTTAGAGGAAATTAAGGAGAACTCCAAAGGTATTTTCTTTCAATGTAAACATTTAAGATACAAGTATCAAAGCTGCTACGAATTTCATTTCACATGCTGCTGCATTAAGGGTGTGATAAATATGTTTGCTCTCTGAGGAGAAAGTGTTTAATGTTGTCCCTTTGTTTTAATTGGTTGAGAAACAGTGGAAACCGAGATGTTCCGTGGTGAGCTAGCAAAGGTTCGTGCTGAACTAGAACCTTGGGAAAAACTATTGATTGAGCACAATGGAAAACTTGAAGTTACGTCTACCGAAAGAAAACTTTTAAATGAGAAGGTGAGTTGGTATTTGATTGAGTCTCGTCGAGAGTAATTTGTTCATGATCAACAAATGGTTGACCGATGCAGATAACATATGGGCTCTGCTATTTTCTGTTTCTTGGAAATTTTCAGTATTTGATTTTTCTGTAGAGCTAGATGTCATAGCTGTGCATTGTTCTATTGTGGATTTTTTCAGCTTGAAGCTGCCTGTGCTGCTTATGATGATGCTCAAAAGAAGATGTCTGACATACAGATGAGAATTGAAACAAAGACTTCAAGTTTAAAAAATATTCAAAATGAATTAGCGAAAAGCAAACTTGAAGCAGTGGAAACTTGCAAACTAGAACAAGTATGTTTTATTGACACCTGTTTTGTACTTTTTCATGTTCTGTGGTTCATTCATCACCATCATTGGATATGTTGCGAGTACTTTGACTCTTTACAGGAGTTTCTCAAAGAACAAGAAAAGCTGATTCCTCTTGAACAAGCTGCAAGACAAAAGGTTACCGAGCTTGTGTCTGTTATGGAATCTGAAAAGAGTCAGGGATCTGTCTTAAAAGCACTACTGCAAGCTAAAGACTCAAACATCATAGAGGGGATTTATGGTCGAATGGGTGATTTAGGCGCTATTGATGGTGAGGATCGTGTATATAACGATCAGTCAGTCATTTTCTAATAGTTTTACCTTCTCTGTGTTTCTCAAGTGGAAATACGGTAAGAGTACAACAGTGCATGTGTTGAGTTTAAATGGAAATTCTATGCTGGAACTTTTCCAGTGTTTCTTCAAAAAGAGTTAGATGAAAAGAATAAGAATACACTGAATGCCCATGAAGGAACCTTCAATATCCATTTCTTCTCATTAGTGTTGGGCTAACAGTTGAGGTTGTGGATTCAATCTAAGGGTAGCCACTCTGTGCATTTAATATCAAAGGTTTGGCTGGTCCCCAGTGTATCCTATCTGCACCTGCCATAAAGACAGAAAATATTGGGTAATGACCCTTTCTATTTGCGAAAAACTCAAAAGAGCCTTAGTCATTCTAATGAACAGGGGTACATTTGTTAAACGGATCAATTGGTGAGATTATGCTCATGACAACTAAAAGTTGTGGTTTTTTGTTCAGAGTGGCAATAACAGATCTTATATTGATAAATTAGGACTTCAAAATTCATTTGACTATGGTTCTTGACTTTATTAAAAAAATGAAGTCATTCCTTTCTTTGCTTAGAAGCATTATCTGCGTAGTTTCTGTGATCACTATTTCTCATGATGGCCTATAATACTGATTTTTCTTGTATTCTTACTTTGAATTCACACCCTTCTTTGATTATGTTTGTCTTTGCAGCAAAATATGATGTTGCCATATCAACAGCATGCCCTGGACTTGATTATATTGTCGTGGAAACACCTGCTGCAGCACAAGCTTGCGTGGAGTTACTTCGCAGTAAAAACCTTGGTGTTGCAACTTTCATGATTTTGGTAGATATTTCATAACAAGTGATGCTTAACATGCTTGCTGTATATTTTATGTTCATATTTGTTACTACTGGTTAAAATGAAGTTTCCAACACCTAACTCAAAGAATTAGGCTTTGGGTGACAAGTCAATTCAAGTGGGTAAAGTCAATAATGTTTAGTCAGCTCTTGCCAACTTATTATGCTTGCTGTGTCCAGAGTCTAGCCCTTGTATCATTTTTCCTTCCACTTGAAAGTATAATTGTCACTGTGTTGCAAACAGTGGGTTTGATTTGCACAGGGACTTGCGCAGGTGACTATAGAGATAGAATGAAAAAGAACACTTGTCAGTGAGTTTATTTGTTTTGAGATGTTTAGGTTTATGCTATGAAGACTTTGCCTTGTGAATGTAATACCAATGGGCTTTTGGTCCAATGGTACTTCTTGCCTTGTGAAGACTTTGCCTTCTTGAGGTTAAGGGTTCAAGTCCCCTTTTCCCCACCCCACCCCACCCCACCCCATCCCACCCCAAAAAACATATTTAAAAAAAAATAAAAAATAAAAAATAAAAAATGCTAAGAACCATTGAACTTTGTCCCTTTTGCATTTCTCACTTCAGTTCTAGTGTTGTTTTAGAAATGCAAAAAGGGACATGGCTTTGTGACTTGGATCTATCTGCTGGTGACGTCATTATGATTACAAACCACTTGTGGGTTATATAGATTCATAACTTTTATTGAACAAAACTTTTTTGGGTATCTGATTAGACTGGTAATTATTCTTCTTTGCAGGAAAAACAAGTTGATCATTTGCCTAGATTGAGGGAAAAAGTTAGCACCCCAGAAGGTGTTCCACGCCTGTTTGATTTGATTAAAGTCCAAGATGATAAAATGAAGCTTGCTTTCTTTGCAGCATTGGGGAACACTGTGGTAGCTAAAGACATTGATCAGGTGGATTATGCTTTTCTATATGGAATATATTCTGTATGACAAATGATGCGCACAAAGGAAACGGAAATGTGATATGCTTTTGTTAGTTTTCAAAAGAGGGACGCGCGCATACACGTTATATATTGAAATTCTTGGAAGGGAAAATAAGGATTAATTGGCTGTCAGCCAGATTCAATCCCTTTCCACCTAGCCATCTTTGTTCCTTTAGGGACATGCTCTAAACCAACAGAAGCCACAGTAGTAAGCCGCACAAATCTGGACACTCTATAGCAAAAAAAATGGATTGTCAACCTAGACTTCATTCTTATGCTTTCTATTTGTTATTACATACTTCAGAAAGGCATTGTGATCGAGAACATGCAAAAAAATCTATTATACTGCTGACAAAAGAAACCGCATTGAGATAAAACTCGGGACTTGCTAGCTATGCCATTTCACTAGGATCATTTTTTGGCAAAAAAAAGACGATCATTGATTACTTATATCCTATGAAGCACGGATACTCGAGAAGGTGACGTATCCGTGTCGAACAAGTGTCCAATACTTTTTTATTTGTGTCTATAATTAAATAATAAATTTTTAATTTTGAACACGTGTCGGACATTTTTTTGGTGACGTTTTTGACACTTCTTTAGAACGTGTATACTACTAAATAATAGACATGTGTTGAAATATGATTAACAAAACTTTAAAATTTTAGAACATATAATTATTAATACTAGACATGTTAAAATTGTACTCAAAATATAAAAATAAAAACAAAAAGATGCATAAAATTTTTAAAAAAGAAGAATTGAAAAAATGAAAACAATTATTTAAATTATATATTAGGTACACATTGTATACAAAAAAAATTGATGATTACTGACTATTATGAGGATGTTTGAAGCTAAAAATTCACAAAGATGACTAGACATTAGATTTACTTATCATAAAATACTTAATCTTTTATGAATTGTCTATCATTATCACTATATTTGTAATAAATTATATACTGCTATAATATAAAATATATATTTTTTTGTAGTGTATCATCAACGTGTCCGTGTCCTATTTTTTTAAGAAATGTCGTGTCGACGTGTCCATGTCGTGTCGTATCTGTGTCTTGTATCCGTATCCATGTTTTTTAGCTTATATCATCTTTGTTAGTAACCATAACTAAGCATTGAAACTGTGGAGCTTATTTGTTTCACTGTTCTCATTTACGGTAGAGAGCACATTCTATTTGTGGGAGGTAATGATAATTGACTTATTTATCAATTTTTAGGCAACCCGTATTGCATATAGTACAAGTAAAGAATTTCGGCGTGTAGTCACACTTGATGGTGCGCTTTTTGAAAAATCTGGTACTATGAGTGGTGGGGGAAGTAAGCCACGTGGTGGTAAGATGGGGACATCTATCCGAGCTTCCAGCATTTCTGCAGAGGCCGTTGCTAGTGCTGAAAATGAGCTTTCTGTGATGATTGAAAAGTTAAGTAATACTCGCCAAAGAATTGCTGATGCTGTGCGGCATTACCAGGCTGCAGAAAAAGCAATTTCCCACATGGAGATGGAATTAGCGAAAAGCCAAAAAGAGGTGACATTCTAGTCTATATCGTTAACCACCTCAATTAGTTCTATCTTAGGAGAGTCTGATGCATTAAATTTCTTTTTTGATGGCAGATTGACAGTTTGACATCACAATACGGTGATCTTGAAAAACAACTTGATTCCCTGAAGGCTGCGTCAGAGCCCCGGAAGGAGGAGTTGGATAGACTGGCGGAACTCAGGAAAATTGTAGCCATAGAAGAAAAGGAGATCGACAGGCTTACACAAGGTTCGAGGCAGCTTAAGGAGAAGGTGCGTGGTTAAGTGAATTTATTCTAGTTTGCTTTGTTAATTTGGAGTCCAATTTACATATTGTTGGTGGCTCGGTGAAACTATGACTGTTTATAGCATGCACGCATTATGCCTTCTTGTTTTGACAAAAATTCCCTAATGTGCGTATGATCTCTGTATTTTTAGGCTTTAGAGCTTCAGAGTAGGATAGAGACTGCAGGCGGGGAAAGGTTAAAAGCCCAAAAGTTGAAGGTTAACAAGATTCAGTCGGTGAGTGTATTCTGAATATGAAATACACCAGGTACTACAAATAACAGTTCCACTTATTTATGGTGCCCACTTGTCAGGACATTGATAAAAGCAGCACGGAAGTCAACCGTTGCAGAGTTCAAATAGAAACAGGTCATAAAACAATCAAGAAATTAACGAAGGCAATTGAGGAATCAAAGAAGGAGAGAGAGCGACTGCTTATAGAGAAGGAGAATTTACTCTCTACCTTCAAAGAGATCGAACAAAAGGCATTTACAGTTCAGGAGAACTATAAAAAAACACAGGAGGTTATATTTGTTCATTTATGTTCTTGACACCTATGATGTTGAACCAGTTGCGAGAGTTGCTTTTGTGATCGATGCATTTTTTTTCTCTTCTGATTTGTGTAGTTAATCGACCAACACAAAGATGTGCTGGATAGAGCAAAGCGTGACTATGAACAACTGAAGAAAACTGTTGATGAACTGCGGGCATCTGAGGTTTTGTGCCAGTACCATCTTTTTTTGTTGCCTCTTATCTCATCTGATTATGTTGTAACATGTTGGCATTAATTGAGCAGGTTGATGCTGACTACAAGTTACAAGATATGAAAAAGGTATCCAAGGAGTTGGAAATGAAGGAGAAAGGTTACAAGAAAAAGCTTGATGATTTGCATATTGCTCTCTTGAAGCATATGGAGCAGTAAGCCCCCTAGAAAAAATGGGTCTTTGGGTTAGGTTGCTTGTTGAGTTTTAATTATTTTTTAACCTATAATTTATAATTTTCTATTTTTCTGTGGTTACAGGATTCGGAAAGACTTAGTGGACCCTGAAAAGCTTCAAGCAACACTGGCAGCTGAAACTCTTGCTGAGGCATGTGATCTTAAAAGGGCCCTTGAAATGGTGGCTCTGGTTGAAGCACAACTGAAAGAGATGAACCCAAATCTTGATTCCATCTCAGAGTACGCATTTCTTTTCAGTAATGGAAGATGACACTTATTTGTTAAACTATTTTGCACGCTAAGTGTGCTCATTGTTACAGATACCAAAAGAAAGTGTCCTTGTACAATGAACGGGTAGAGGATCTCAATGCAACAACTCAGCAACGTGATGATGTAAAGAAGCAATACGATGAATGGAGAAAGAGAAGGCAAGTCTTTCTTGTTCTTATAATTTCTATTTTATTTCTTCCTTCGGTGCTTTCAATTACTTATCGTTTGTCAACCACATTGGTTTCAATTTTCAGGTTAGATGAGTTCATGGCAGGATTTAACACAATATCTTTGAAGCTGAAGGAAATGTATCAGGTCCTTTAACTCATTCATTCTGAATCCCTCTCTCCCCACCACCGAAAGCCCTGGGTAGCAGGCTATTAGCCCTCTGTAAATTTCTTAATTGTTCTTGTTTGCGATTTGGGATTTTGTTAGATGAATGATCGGAACATGCACGTACAACTGCTCATGTTGATGAAATTTCTGACTTGGCATTGAGGATGCTATTTCTTATTGGTGCCATTGCCCTAAATTTAGTTCTGTTTTTTCTGAGAGAGCCTTTACCTTGTTCTCCTCTAATTGCCACAAATGCTATACTTAAATTTTGTGCAATTGCAATATGGATGATGCTTGTATTTGAGATTTCCCACGGTTGTTGTATCAAGCTTCTACATTTCGCATGTTCTTTCTATGCTCCATTTTGAGTTGATTGCAATGTTTATGATCTTGGAACAGATGATCACACTTGGAGGAGATGCAGAACTTGAGCTGGTGGACTCTTTGGATCCTTTCTCTGAAGGTGTTGTTTTCAGTGTTAGGCCACCTAAGAAGAGCTGGAAGAATATTGCCAATTTATCTGGTGGTGAAAAGGTATTCTCTCAAAAACATCAATTGCTTTCATATGTTTTTCCTCTTACTGTTAGCTCTAAAAACAATTTGCCCACTTTTATATCCATCATTACTACTTTTTGACCCGTGATGTTTGGTTGTTGCGTTCAGACTCTCAGCTCATTATCACTTGTTTTTGCACTCCACCACTACAAACCCACACCGCTTTATGTAATGGATGAGATTGATGCTGCTCTGGGTATATTTATTTACTGTAAAACATATCTTTTTGCCAAAAAGATTCCATTCTTTACCGCATGTTTATATCATTAATCTTCACTTGTTTGTCTGGTTTACGTGTTCTGACAGATTTTAAAAATGTTTCCATTGTGGGGCACTATGTGAAAGACCGTACAAAGGATGCACAGTTTATCATCATAAGGTAGATTTGATGCAATTGTGGGTTGTTATGGAGTTATAATCGGTGTTAGTACTAATTTCATCTGCATACCACCTGCAGCCTTAGAAACAATATGTTTGAGTTGGCAGATCGACTTGTTGGAATTTATAAAACTGATAATTGCACCAAGAGCATTACTATCAACCCAGGGAGTTTTGTGGTTTGCCAAAAAGCTTCTTAATGGGGGCCTTTCAAGCATTGTAAGTTCAGTTCAATGTCATAATTATCTACTTGTCAGAATTTGCCTGCAGATTGTGAATGTCAATTGGATGCTTATTGACATATATAATCAGATGTATGTATATTGTTTTTTAAAATCTTCTTCACAATTATTGCGATGTATATAATTGAGAGTATTGCATTGTCGTTCAATTGGCCAAACTGTCGGATAAGGATTAATATGTTTCAGTTGTGCCTTTTCTCTGTGCTCGAGAAAATATTGGCTACCTCTGTTGTGCTGTGAAGTTGAATTGAGAATGCACGATTTTGTGTCAACATTGTTAAGAATCTGTACTATTTTATTTATCTGAGTGATTAAACAATAGCATATTCATATTTCTTATGTAACTGCTACAAGGTCTAGTATGGTGTGCTAATTTAACTGCCTAGTGTGTGGTAGTGTGTGATAACAATATTGCTGAAACAAATTGGCCATTGCATTTTTCATTCTCGATTCTGCAGCTGTGATTCAGACAAATGCCATGTTTGCCGATCTGGCACCAAGATCTGTTTATGCAAAACAACTTTATACATTGATAAGGATACGGTACTAAAACCATAACAAGCGCGAGTTTTATCTGTAAACCTTTATGTACATGTACGTAAGCTGTGTAAAGCAATGAAGGCCATCTTGATTTGCTGGGTTTTTCTGTCATTTCGTTGAAGTGGTGCAATAGTTACAGTGAATTGAGAGGATCTTTATCCACAATTTGCTCATCATCACTCGTCATTTGTGGATGTTTGAATGACAATAGACTTGGTGAAATTGCATTGATTGGCTTGTCCGTTCCCCGAATAAAATTGTATGACAATGCACCAAGTAGTGTGCCTGATACTGTTCCGACCAGGTATACCCAAATTCCCTTGTAGTATGAACTGGCTAGAGCAGGGCCTATGGTCCTTGCTGGGTTCATCGATCCTCCTGATATAGGTCTGGAGATATACCTAGACAACTGGTTAGTGCCATGATTGTCTGAGTTATGTAAATGCTCATTTCAAGTTTAGGATCTTTGATTTGGTTCTTTTGTGCCCGTGCCTGAGCCGTATTTTCTAACGAGGTTAACTGATCCAAGCAGTTTTGGTTTATCTAGGTTTTGTTCAATTTTAGTTTGTTTAGATTCATTAAAACTATAAAATGAACTGAATTGGTTAGATTTTGAAGTATGTTTTTAAGCTAGTAATTTGATTAGATTTTTTAAGTATGTTTTTAGCTAGTAGAATTTCAGTGACGTGTTTTTGAGTAAATATTGGGTGTAATGGTGATTGTATGTCATCATTGACACGATAATGACACGTGTTGTTACCATCTAATAACAATTTTACACAAGAATACGGTAAATTTTATTTGGGTAATTATTAATGATTTGGTAGGATGATTTATACTATTATATGTGGGATCTATTTGTTTATTTGTTTTGTTTTTATTTGATGGTAATATTCGATAACAATGATGATGTGTTGTTATTGTTACACTTAATTTTTTTTGGAAAATATTATTTAGACTTAAAATTTAGATTTTATTAATTAAAATTATTGAATAAGTTGTGGGTTTCACTAGATGTTGAGATTCACATCGAAATCAATGACAATGATTGATTAAATTTATATTTTAATTTCATGTAATATTGCTCAATATTTTTTTGTTCCTTAGATTTTATTGTTGACTAATCTTTATCCAAAAAGTAAAATCCTTCAAACTTGTGTTCAAATAACTATAGACTATCAATACTTAGTCATTATATGTATTTTTTTATGATTTAATTATATAAAGTTCAAGATTTGAATTGTTGAATTTTTTCTCTTCAGAAATTGAGCTAAGTTTTGGTTGGAATGTTCACAAGCTTTATTCAAATTGAGCTTGACAATTGAATTTGGTTGTTCATAATTGACTGAATTTAAGCATATTCGAACATAACATTTGACAAGTTCGACTTAATTAGTGGCATTGATGGTCATAATTGTCAATTTTTTTTTGTTTATACCAATATTTTTGGCTTACCCGGCCAAGATGGAGGTTATGCATACGGCTGAACCTACTGCCATACCTGCCAGCTCCCCTACCTGTGAACATGGCAAATCTTAGTTGTGGTGCAAATGTAAATACACAATGTATGGGATGCTGAACTTGAGAATTAAAAATCTGCGGGTTCCAATTGATTCTCTTACAGCTTTGGTGTCAGTTGCCACTGCTGAAGCAATGAACATCATTGAGAAAGTTACCACAATCTCCATGATCAGAGCTTGTAACTCCGTTCCAGAAGGTGAAGTGGTGCCTAAATTTTTTATTGGGTGAAGTAATTTGCGCAGGGTAAATGAGGCCGAAATGGCTCCTGTTAGTTGGGCTGCAGCATAGAGAGGAACCTACAAAGGAGCACATTGGTATTTTGACCCTTTAATAATTCCTGTTTTTGCGTAAAGCGATATGATAATAAACGATCTGATTGAAATAAATGACATTAAATAAAAAAATGATAAAACATGATTCATATAAACGATTTTAAATTAAGTAAAATTAAAATAATTTCGGTTGGGTTGAGTTTATTTTAGTCCACCACAAGGGCCCATAGGGGTATACGTAAATGGATAGTAGGTGGGCTTCATTGAAACCAATCCACATCTATATAAATCACAGTTGTCTAAGTAGATGTTACATTGTTTTTGTTGCAGTGTATTTGTCACACTAATTTTGTTGTATTACTATGGAGGTTGGATAATAACAAATTTTGAAATTCAAACAAGTGATATATTGTAAAATAAATGTATTTTTTTTTCATAATATTTTGTTGTATGCACTTTTTTACAATTATATCTAATTTGATGTACTGACTTCCAAGAGACCCATTAATATTAGACCTTGTGGATAGTTATTTTAGAGAGCAACTCTTGTGGGGTTGAAGCATAGCCATATTTGACACCCTGTAAAGTTAATTCATGGGGTCCAGTGATAGACATATGACCTGTCAACGTTGTAGACAGCGTCGAGCTAATCAAATTTTGTACATGTTTTTTTATGTCGTTTTATTTTCATTAAATAAGAATGAATAAGAATCACTTAAACTCAATTTTAAATAAAAAACTAAGAACTTATATGTTATGATTTTAGTATGTCTGGAATATATCATAAATTGTTGGGGTAATTTTTTTTTTTTTTATGTACAAAATACAAGACACTATCAGGCACATAGCAACTCTCTTTGACCTTTTTCGGTATTTTTCAACAATGCCAAAAATAGATGAATTTATCATTCATGTAAACTCAATTAATATTGCCAACTCTTATTATTATTATTATTTTTTAAAACAAGACAGTTGGATTCTTCAATTTGTCCAATCGTGGGTCCGATTAAATTACAATATTATTTATCTTTTCAGATATCATGAGCCTATCACGATTATCAAATGTGCATGATTTTAATTTATCTTTATTTTTTGTCATATATTTAACGAATTAGATCTACCACGATATCATAGTTACGGGATGAATCCAATTTTCTTTCTTTTTTCTCGACAAAGTTGGACCCGGACTTGAATTTTAATGTATTTTCATGAAATACTCAATTTCGCTTGAGTGTAGATTAGGTGCATGGGAATTGTTGTCTGACGAAAGCTAGAGTGACGGCAGGGTTCATGTGTGTACCAGAGATAATATGTGTTCAACGGCATCTTCTGGCTAATCAAATTCCAATGTATTTTCATGTAATATTCCATTTCACTGATTAGTTAGTTCCACTATTAATGAATGAATAAGTGAGCGGCAAGAGGGTGCATACCTGATTCCATGGGAAATGCCTGATGGCGGCGAAAGCTAGAGTGACAGCAGGGTTCATGTGTGCACCAGAGATATGTCCAACGGCATAGATCATGGCGGTGACTATAAGCCCACCAGCCACAGAGGCACCTAGTTGCGATACTTTTTGTTCATCGCTTGCACTAAGTGCAGCCGCACCACACGTCACAAACACCAATAGATACGTTGCTATTGCCTCCGCCACTATCTGCCACACACACACACAGTTTACACAAAAATTTTGAGAATTTTGCAAGTCAATCTTTCATATCAAATCATAGATACATTTCGATAATTTGTAATTTTTCAATAAGGACTCTTTATTTGTCCACTTTGTACTAGAATTACATGATGTTCAAATGCATTATACAATGAAGGTATAAACCTTACACTTATGCACTATTCGACATCTATTTTATCGTGGGATTGAATCATTACAATCTATTTCTTAAAACCCAAACGTTGTCCTTTGGACTTTGCACAACCAAGTGATTTAGACTTTTGAGGGATTACTCCCACCACACAAGCTACCACTGGCCCGGCAAATTGGGGTGCACTTAGGGATGCATAGCCTTAAGTGACCTCCACACCATGAGGGTCAGTGGTTCTGATATCAATTGTAACGCTCTGGACCCGTATTGTATAATATTTTTTATTTTAGGCTAAGTTTACATAACTTTAGAATGCGTTGTATAATGAAAGTTTGAAGTTTATGCTTATGTATCATTACACATCCTCTTCACTTGCATGTGGTGGTTCATGATATTGACAAATACATTGAAGAAAAACTTCTATTGTGGTTGCTTTAGAAGATTGTGGAACTTGATTTGAATAAAAGAAAAATTCTAGGGGAAAAATAAATAACAAGATGCATATAGTTTCATTTCCCTTGATTTAGGTTAAAACAAGCAAAACTATAAAAAAAAAAAAAAAAAAGAAAGGAAAAGAGGAAACTAAGTTGTATGAATGATTGTCTATGCCCTTTTGCATGTACTAGTTTGTGCTTAGAGAGAATGGTTTAGGAGACTATACCTTTCTAAGAAAACCAGGTGGGTAATGTTCTTGAAATAGTTTGCAAAAACGACATAGGTTTTGCTTGTGGGATTTTGGGTGTTCCACAGAAACCAAGTCGCCTGAATTGTTTAGATTTGGAGATGTACTGTTCATTTCTGTATAGACAGATAACCTCGAAACCCTTTGAAAATGTAGAAGATACAGTTGTTGAAGATGGAAGTGATGAAGTTCTCTTCAGCAGAACTTGAAATCTAAGTGGACACAAGGTTCTGAGGTCCACTATCTTGGTTTAATATAAGGTTTCCCACCTCTTCTCCCCTAACCCCCCAACACACCCCC